CCGCATGCGAAAGTATTTCCCAACAAAACGCCTCAATCGTTTCCTTGACCAGTTTTGCTGTGTGTGATGGTGCATTATCATGAAGCAAAATCACTTTGTGTTGCCTTTTTTTATATTCTGGTCGTTTTTCACGCAAAGCTTGATTTAAATCGATCATTTGTTATCGGTAGCGTTCAGTATTAACGGTTGGCCAGGTTTTTGCAGCTCATAATAGATCACACCGTTCTGATCCCACCAAACACAGAACATCGTCTTCCGTCCATAGCGATTGAGCCTTGCAGTCGATGTCGATGGTTCGCCTGGAGTTACCCATGATCTTTTACGCTTAGGATTTTCAAAATATATCCACTTTTCATCGCCAGTCACAATTCGATGGAGAAATGACTTTCTTTTGTACCTGGCGAGCAGCATTTCGCAAGTGGTTTTTCGGTTTTCCTGCTGTCTTTCATTCAGTTCATGTGGAACCCATTTTCCCATCTTCTGGATCTTTCCCATGGCTTTCAAACGTATGGAGACGGCTTCTCGTGTCACATTTAATTGATCCGCGAGTTGTTGTTGCGTTTGAGTGTCATCCTCATCCAACAATGCTTGCAATTCGCTGTCTTCAAACTTTTTCGGTGGTCTTCCACGTTCTTCGTTTCTCACGTCAAAATCGCCACTTTTGAATTTTTTAAACCACTCAAAGCACTGTGATTTACCAAAAGCATGCTCACCGTAAGCTTCGACAAGCATTCGATGCGATTCTGCAAAAGTTTTCTTCAAATGTTAACAGAAAATCAATAGGCCTGTTCTTTGTAGTTGCACTGCTGAACTGGTGCAATATATTGAAGTGAAACAAATATACGTTTTCTCACTCTAACTTATTGCACTAGTTCAGTAGTGCAGCTACAAAGAACAGGCCTAATGCTGTCCGCAAATTGTAGTTTCCAGGCACAAAATTCGGGGAGCGGTGCACTTGGACACGATGCATTTGGACACAGCCAATCACAGCACCGTATGATTAGAGACATTTGTAGGGTCCCTTGGAACAGCGACTTGTGATTGGACTGTGTCTAATTGCCCCGTGTCCAACTGATATACACCCCAAAATTCGATATGTTCAATGCTATTACAAACTATGCTGTTGTATGAAACTTGAATTATTGTGAGTTGAAAATCTTTGTCAGAGATGTCAACAAGGAAATGGCGCCAATGACACGGTTTGACGGTAACTACATTGACAGCTAGGGCCATCTATGGGCAAATTCCGGTTTCATATTTACAGACCTGGTATATTGCATATCCTATGTACATTTGGGGTACATGGTATGTAGTATGTACACGCACCGGCGTCTATATATTAATACTGTCCGTATATCCGTGTGACTTGCACACGATGACACGTCACTCACACATTGCTGCCTGTAAGTGAAGTAAGAGCAGCACGGAGTGGCGGAAAGGGCTAGTGGTATACGATTGTGGGACGGCTTGGAGAGGGAATAGTAGTGGGAGTCGCGGCGATTTTCCATTTTCTATCGCAGACGTAAGAACAAAAGAGATAGCATTATAAGACGTTGTCGCCAGAAATGCTGTCCTAAAATACGTATGACACACACTAAGAAAACGCTCGACTTACACTATCTCGTCTGTACGTGAGGAATACGCGATGCCCGATGACCGTTTCTCTCGCTCGAACGTCCATGCATTTCTTTCTTCTTACCAAGGAAATTACTGCAATGTAAAAGGAGATCTTGGGGAAGAGTTTTCAGGAAACTTCTTAATAGCTGCTCTTGAAAAAAAAGATAAATATTAGATTTATTTGAATATAGAACACTGAATCAATATAGAATACTGTAAAAATACAACGCTTGTATAGGTTGTCGAAATAGAGTATTTTTAATTTTAATGTTGCATAAACACGCGAGATATAGTTATTTTATATATTATGTGTTCGAGTAACGTTCCATTGTTATAAAATTTGCAATGAATAAAATCATACAATGCATGATCACGGGAGCGGTGCACTTGGACACGGTGCATTTGGACACAGCCAATCACAGCACCGTGTGATTAGAGACATTTGTAGGGTCCCTTGGAACAGCGACTTGTGATTGGACTGTGTCCAATTGCCCCGTGTCCAACTGATATACACCCGTGAGCTTATAGCGCGCGTAGCTATAGCTAGTTTCTTCTGCGCATGTCGGGCGAAATTCGCCGCAGTCTCGAGTACGGCAAAAAGTTGTCGTCCGGACATTTCTTCAAACCCATCCTAAACGACGCTAGATCAACGTCTGAACAAAACACCCGATGAAACTGAACGCTTCTGGGTAAATGTTGTCGTCCGGACGTTCATCCTGAATGCACCCCAGCACATGTCAAATACGACAACTCTGGCAGTAATAATTGCGAAGCACTACCATATACGTAAAAAAAGATACATATGGCACTTGTTACTGACAAGTAGCACATATCAAGTTAGACGACTCTGTAATTACTGAAAACCCAAGTAGAACACTAAGATTTGTAAAAGTCAAAATGACGTCAAGTTACATAAAAATGATATCAGTTTCGTATGAAAAGATAAAATTTTTATGACAATTTAATTACAATGATATCAAAATGAAATTATGTTGACATCAAAATGATTTTGTGTTCTACCTGGGAAGCAGCTCACGTGAAGACGACTCTGCTTGTAACTACAGTGAATCAGCTCACGTCAAGTAAGACGGCTCTGCTTATAACTATTGAAAGTCTAGGTAGAATACAAAGTCTTAGGCTGAGTTCTCATTGAGCGCGTCACACGTCGCGTCGTCTGCCTGCGTCACAAGTTAACCAATCAAATCCTTTAATTGGGATGACGCGACGCGGACGCACGACGCACTTGTTCCAATGGAACGATTTGATTGGTTAACTCGTGACACAGGCAGACGACGTGACGCGTGACGCGCTCAGTGGGAACTCAACCTTATTAAAGTTAAAATGACGTCTAATTATATAAAATTGATGTAATTTTC